GTTTTTTTTTTTGCAATGTCTCTCCCCAGATACTCTGACCACACGACATTAGAGACTCAGGGCCTGTTTCTGGTGACCGCTGAAGTCTTTCTAGCGTTTTCCTCGTTCAGGGAGGTAGGCAAAGCCTTGGACTGTGTCTTGGCTTAGAACCAGCCCTGCATGTCATCCTGTGGCAGGAGCCCAAGGTTGTCCCAAGTAGCAGGTGAGGCAGCACACACACCCCAGACACAGGCACGCAACACAGATGTCACACAGGTGCGTGCACTCCCCCACACACAGACCCCCTCCCTGCACACACATTACACAGATACCACAGATTCACACACATGCATGCAAACCACACACACACACCCCTTAGATACATGCATGCACACACCATACACAAGTACATGACACCTATGCAGATACCACATCCCTGCACTGCACCACATACGAGCATATGCCCACACATCCACGCGCTTCAAAGGGCGGGGTGGTCCTAGGTCCGCTGGGATTTCGGACAGTGATTGTACTTGCACTCCTGTGTTCTGGCCCAGGAGTGAGGTTTTTCCCCTTGATCAGATGGAGGGGGGAGCCTGTGGGGTTCAGCCTCTCATGCCTGGGATCAGGCTCATCCAATTGGAGGGATTGTGATGGATGAGTCACATGTTAAATATCGTGGGGAGCTGCCTCTGGCTGTTCGGCTTCTTTAGTTTTGGATGTGATTCATGTTGAAGGTACAGCTGCTGACATCTACCCCAAGGCTTATAAGATATCAAGGAAATTCCTCCCCAAAAATTGACAGTGAGCACCACTTCCCACTGGTAGTTCTTCGGGGTGATGTGTGCATCCCCTGTGAGCCTGGGGGCCGGAGGCACAGGTGACACCAAGAGCTCGAGGTCACCCCGGGGCAGCTCCTCCGAGCACATCCAGCCACCCGGGAAGAGATGTGGGGCAGGGGCAGTGTGGACGCGGGAAGCAGTGAGCACAAGGTGTCCCCGGGAAGGAATGGAAAGGTGGTGGGAACACCACGGGAGGAGGAATTGGGCCCAAAGCAGGCAGCAGAGGTGCCCCGCCTTCCCGAACGGCTGCCCCCTGCCCCGTGGTAGCAGCGCCCTGGCCCCCACACGTGGTGTGTCCGTGTTCTTTGGCAGCAGACTGTCGTTCTGTCCATCCACACAGGCCGGATGTCGGCCAGTGCAGCATCTGTGACGCTTTGGTGCCTGTCCCCCCCACCCCCGATTGTGATACTCGGCAGTTTTTTGTCTTGTGCTCGTTTCATCGTGTTTATTCCTTTCTCCGAATCCTGGCGTGGTGTTCCTGCAGCTGTGTGACATGAGGGCCGCTGTTGTGGATACGTGTGAGGGGGATTTCAGGGTAAGCGGCCCCAGCCCGCCGGGCCCAGCGCTTGCTCGGCTCTGCATGTGGCTCGGACCCCCCATCTCCCCCCCCACCCCGCAGCATGGCAGCTGTGCTCCGTGCCTCCCCCACCCCGGCCCTCCGGGGAGCACCCCGGGCCCCCCACTCATCTGGCTTTCGGGGGATCACTGGCCGCCTGGCATCCGGCTGGCTTTGCGCTAGGAGAGGGGAGGAGGTCCGCAAGCAGGCTTCCCCCCACCTCCCCTCCTCCCCTGGCCTTTGAGCCCCCACTGTCAGCCCCCCCCATACCTCCCCCTTTGGTCTGGAAGTTCAGGGCTAACGGGTCTGTGCTGCCCGCGGCGTCTCTGTCCTTGGTTGCCTGCCGCAGACCGAGCTGCCCGGTGCCCGCTCGCTCTGTGCGCCCGGCTTCGGGGTGTGTCCCCAGGAGGGTCACAGCAGGCACAGCCTCCACCTGCGGGGGCAGGTGGGCTCCCAGCGACCCTGAGGGTCATCCCAGGGGACCCCTGCTTTCCGAGGTGGGCTCGCGCTTCTCCTCCTCCTCTGGGCCGACCCAGCTGGCGAGCCCGGGAGAACCCACGCTGGTGGGATTCACTCGGAGCTTATTTCCCGCCCGGATCCTTTCTCGGTGTTTGGGGAGCACGTATATTCTGGTTTCGGCCTGTCTGCTCTGCCCACGGGGAGGAGATGCTGGAAATGAAAACCGAGGGAAGAGCAGGAGAGAAGCCGGGGGGGAATCAAGTGTCCTGGTGGCAGTCAGGGGCAGCAGAGTAAACCAGGGGAGGGTCCCCCCATCCCCGCCCTCCAGAGCCTCCTCCAAAGCTGCTGAGCCCCTGGTCCTCTGGAAACTCAGGGCGGGCACCGCACAAGGGGGTCCCATGCCCACCCACCCCTGGTGCTTCTGATCCCAGCAGTGGGTGAGGGCTTCTCTCCCCAGATCCTGCTCCCTGGCCGTCAGTAGCTTTCCCCGAGGGGTCGAAGGGAAGGGCCAGGGTCGCACCTGCTGAGTCCCCTTCAAGTCTGCCCTCCTGTTCTGCGATTCCCTCTGGGGAATCTGCTGGGACGCTGGTGGGAGGGTAAACCCGCCCAAGGCCACACTTGCAATGCCAGGGACGGGATTTTAAGCCCGAGCAGCAGGGAGGGCCGGTGCCCAGCAGAACGCTGCGGGGCGGGTGGCCCAAGGCTGCATCCCGTAGCTGTCGCCCAAGGCAGGGGGAGCGAGTGCCACTGGCAGAGCCGAGCCTGGGACCCCATCTCTGTTCCGAGGCAGTGGGATGGAGACAGGCAGGAATGACGTTTTGAGGCCCGTCTTTGGGGGTGGTGGTGGCTGGGGGAGTGACAGAAGGACCTTTGTCCCACAGCTTCCATGTTTGTATGTCTTTTAACACCGTGTCCAAATGTCTGTCTGTCCACCTGGTATGGTGTGAATGTTGGTTTTACCTAAAACTCCTGAAGACTAAGAAACCACCCCATGCCTGATTCCAGGCTGGCCCAGGGCTGCCCTTGTTCCAGGAACATGTCCCTATGGTCCGGGCCCAGGATGACAGCAAGGCTAAGCCCTTAGAGGCCTGGGAGGAAGCAGGCCAAGGAAGGGGTGTCGCCATCAGGGTCCTTGGTTCTGGAGCCCCCACTCCCCCAGGGTCCAGGAGCTCAGCTCCCGCCACCACTTACGCCTCCAGCGTGGCCTTGCCCGTCCAGAGCTGCCAACCCTGTGCAGTGGCCCAGCCTTTGCCGTCCCAGTTTCAGATGCTGAGCATAGTCTGCTGAGCATCTCCCAGAAACAATGACCTTTTAGGGGCCACAGTAAGGATGCACCCAGAGGTGAGCAGCTGCCCTGGTGCCGAGAGGTGGGTCCCCCCACCAATAGCCTCCCAGCAGAGGCCCACTGCCCGCCTGCCTCCAGCAGCCACAAAAAAGGTCTGTCTTGGGTCTTAGGATGCAGGCACCAGCTCGACTCCCTGGTTGTTCACGGGCTTGGGGTGCCTTCCCAGGGCCTCCTGCCCCGTCCCCGTGTACACTAGGGAACTAAATGCAGCCCTGAAACCCCAGTCAGGGGTCCCTGAGGCCCGCCCAGAAAGCAGCCTGGTTATGGAGCTGGAGGGTGTGCAGAGGCCGCGGCGCTGGAGCTGTCCCAGCGCTCCTCCAACTTCCCTGGCGGGATGGGATTGGGGTGCTCGGGGCAGCCGAACCCCCACCTGACCCTGCAACAGGATGCCCGCACCGGCCGGCGACCCCGGTGACTGCGTGGCCACCACCTCCTGCCAGCCGCCCTCAGTCGCCTCTCTCTGCCGCCCCGCAGATCTCGTCCACTTTGACATCCCCTCCATCCACGTAGAGCTGGGGCCGCCGCTCCGCCTGAGCCCCCTGGAGCACGCACGGCGACACTCGGTGACAGACAAGAGGGACTCGGAGGAGGAGTCTGAGAGCACCGCCCTCTGACCCGCGCCACCCCGCCCCGCGTGTACATACTGGGCCCCACCCCTGCCCCCTGGGCTGGCCGTGCGAGGGCTGGAGTCCTGCACACCACGCGGATCGCTGTCACCTCTGGCCTGCGTGGCCCGTGTTGGGGCCGACCTTGTTGTTCCTTTGGGGTGGTGATTTTGGCCTTTTGTTTGATCTTTGCCTTTTGACTTTGTGCCTATTTTGATCTACTTTCAGCCTCCGTGCGGCGCGGCACCCGTCCGTCTGCCCCAGGGCTTCCTGTCAGCAAGGTCCTCTGCGGGTGTAGGCTGGGGGTGTGCGGGAGGGTGAGGGAGGCAGATCGCTCGTCCCACCTGCAGCGCAGAGTTCGGGCCCTGACCTTTGCCTGCTGCACAAGGGGTGGGAGTGGGTGGCAGCCCGTGTAAATCTTCAAGGCTGCCCTTAATGCGTGGGCTCTAAAGTCAATGGCTTAAAACAAAATTTGTTTCACTTTCTGATGGTTTGAGTTTTCCCTGACCGTGTGACCAAGCGCTCCTGTCATCACCACCTCCTTTTTCTACTTCTGAATTTAAAAGATGATCCCGAGGGTGTTGGGGGCCCAAAGATCGCACCCCCCCCACCCCCAGCAACCTCCACCAATGGTAATTCCGCAGTCTCCACGGGCTCATTGCTGGGCTGGGGCGGCCACAGGGACTAGCAATAAACCTGTCACCTGGAGGATGGGAAGGTGGCCTGTGGAGACCCGAGGCGGGTGCCACTGGCCCTGCAGCACGGCGGGCTTCGCTCAGCAGTGGCTCATCACCCCCTCTCTGCCCTTGGGGTGTCCCGTCTGTCCCTGGGGAGCCCAGTCACACTTGGGGATGAAGGGAGCGAGACACAGATTCGGGTCATGCATGCCAAGTCAGACTTTCCAATTTTATCCTTTTAAAATAGATGCGATATACCTATACATGATATAATATTTGTACATATGAAATCTATATTTGTTTAATTTGAGCCACTCAAACTAAACCAATGTATAGGTGTACAATGAGAAATCTAAATGCTTAGTTATTTTTTCCCAACACAGTGTAAAATAACCCTGCCCTGATGGTGGGATTTGCCAACTTTTGGTGTTAACAGCTTTGCTCACTTCCTGGCAAGGACGGGTCAGTACCCAATTTGTAACGGAGCCCAGGGGTCGAAAGTTACCTTTAAATACATGTACAAATAGTTGTCAAAAGTAATGTTATTAAAATAGATTTATTATCCCTGAGCGTGGCCTATCTTCTTGTTTCGACAATAAGCTTGTGGGGGGACACTCCTCGGGAGGACACCTGCGGTCACGGCTGGGCTAGGCTGAGTCCTCGAACCATCTCTTCTAAGTCACCTGAGCTTTTAAAGCTCTGTTCTCACCAATAAATACCGATCCACCGGGAATTCTCTCCATTGTTAGATCCCCAAGGGAGGGCGAGAGGGCCCAATCCACGACTGATTTGTCAACACACTGAGGGCAGTAAGAGGGTCCAGATCTCACTGGGGGGCAGAGACCCATCCCTGGTCTCCCCCCTTTTCTCTGGGGACAGGCTCTGAAGGCCCTCACCACCACCAGCAGAGCCAGCTTCCAGGTGACCGTGGGTGCCAGGGAGCACTGTGCCGCAGGGCAGGAGGCTTCTACTCACAGGTGGCACCGGGGCAAAGCACAGCACTCGGGTTCCAGGCGGCATCTTGAGGCCTGCCTCTGGCAACGCTATTCCCAGAGTCCTGGATACTCTGACATCGTGTCCACGACCCAGCGTCCTGTGACCCAGCTTGGCGCAGGTGTGCAGAGGGAGCACGCGACTGGAACAGGCGGGCCATGCTGTGTTTTCCGTGCAGCTTCCTTAAAAATGGTCAGTACCAACTCCCAGTTGTCCCTGTTCTTCCGTCCAGCAGCCTCAGGTCCGAAGCCGTGCCAGGTGGCAGCGGTACGACCCATCCAGCAGGTCTGTCCCTGCGGGGGGGCCCAGCCCAGGCCCGCATTCACGCCCTCCTTCACCCTGGTGCCTCCCCGTGAGCTGAGCCGAGGATGCCGCCTTCCGAGCCCAGGGTCCCTCCCGGGCCTTCACTGCGCCCTGACCTTCTTGCTCTGCGGGCTCCGAGGCTGCTCCACGAGGGCCCGCTTCTGCGGGGGCGTCCTGTCGTCGGGGCCGCGCGCCTGCTCCCCTGAGAGCAGCGCCTCCCGTGCCTGCCGCACCTCCCGCTTCTCCCTGCGCTCCTCCATCTCCTCGATGTCACCGGCAAACAGGGCTTTCAGCGGGGCGCTCAGCCTGGGCACCGTTGGGAAGTCCGCAAAGCAGACCTGGAGGGCAGCGGGGAACAGGACCTGCGTCAGGGGCCGGGGGGGGGGGGGGGGGGGGGGGCACAAGCCGCGCCGAGGAAGCTCTGTCACCCACCTCCGTGTCCACTGGCTGTGGGGGAAAAATGGGATGGGGGGTGGGGGGGGAACAGGATGGGGGTGGGGGAAAATGGGATGGGGTTGGGGGGGTGGGGGAGCCCTCTCCAGAAGGGGTGCAGATGCCCCACTCCTGGCCGAGGGGGCAACACTGTGAACGGGCCTCCAGAAAGGAGAGGCAGTCGGGACTCAGAGGCAAACCCTGGCTCCTGCCCTCATTCAGGGAGGCCAGGGGGCAAGGCTGGCTGACTTCCCTGGCAAGAAAGGGGAGCACCCGCCTCCCCCCAACCAAGTGCTGAGGTGCCAGTAATGTGGCTGTGGGAACCTCAGGGAGAATCCCCCCTCCCTGCACCCCGTCACTTCCAGCAGCTGCAACACTCCAGTCTGTCCCAGGGACAGGTGGTGTGATGGGGGACAGGCTGGCAGTGGTGATGGTTGTGGGGGGACGGGTAGGCTGTGGTTGGGGGGGGACATGGGCTGGCCATGGTCGGGGGGGACACACATGGGCTGGCCGTGGTGAGAGATGGACAGACACCTCCCGAGCACCCAGCACCCCGTGTTGTGAGCAGTCTCCAGCCCCACCAACCCAAGGGGCACAGACCTTCATGTGGTCAAAGGCAATTCCCACTTTCTCGTTGAAGTCGGGGCTGAAGAGAGGCACCTTGGCATAGCGCTGGCTGAAGTGGTTCAGCATGGTGAACCCCGCATTCATGCGCACCCCCACACCAATCGCCTGGGAGGTGGTGCTGCCAGCAGAAGGCCGCGTAAGGCTGACGCCCAAGCATGGGGCGACCCCAGCCCCCAGATTCCCGCATGAACCCCCCCGGGGGGGTCAGCAGGGCTCCCCCTGACACAGTCTCCAAGGGCCAAGGCCCAGGTTGTCAGTGAGCTGCCTGCCCTGCCTGTCCCTGAGCCCCCTCCCCGGCAGCTCCCTGACACGGGACCGTGTGTGCCAGTGTATCTGCAACACCCTCAGACACCTGCCCCAGCCAGCACCTCGCGTGGGCGGCTGCAGAAATGAAGGCAGGAACCCCCAGGGCGGGGAGCAGGCCGGCCTCGCGTCACGGTCACTGCAGAGCAGTCTGTCCCTACGGGGCTGATGCCAGGCTGCTCTGAGTGTCACTTGGGGAAAGGCGGTGGGTGGCCCGAGGGTCTCCCCTACCTGTGTGTCTTTTCCACGGCCTCCTCCTCCAGGCCATCTTCCAGCGTGGCCTCATGTATCAGGAGGGTGGCGTTCTTCCCTAGAGAGTAAGGGGCAGGGACACTGGAGCAGAGTCCCCGGCCTGAGACATGCTTGGCCCTGGGTCCTCGGCTGTGCCTTGCCCTGTGCACCCGCTAGAACCACAACCCTGCCATTGCCACCTGTACTCACCGATCTGGACCAGAGCCTCGCAGGGCATGGTGTCCCCGGAATAGACCACTTTCCAGCCGGATGTGTGGACCAGCGCACAGCCGAAAGCATGCTTGCAGTGGCGCACCAGGCAGGTCTGAAACTGAAGGAGCAGGTTAGTGGCCTGCAGCCATGGCCCCCTCACTCTCCCCGCCTGCGGGGGGCCCCCTTACCTCTTCCAAGTCGCAGGCTCCCAACAGCGACGCAATCAGCCTTTCCACCGCGGGACTGGAGACCTCCGCTCCTTTCTGAAGGCACTTGGCAGGAATCAGGCTGTGAGGACACAAAGTGGTTCCAGGGCAAACGTGAAACAAAATTTTTTTAATATGATTCAAAGTTCAAGCGTCTGGCTGAAGAACAAACCCCAAACTCATTGTCATAAAGTGACGGGAATGAGTCACTAAGAGGAAACAGTAGTCAATTTAATAAAAGAGCTGAATATCAACACCCAAGACCACAGTAAGGGACCTGGCGGAGAAGTGCTGCCCGTGGTGGGGGAAGGGGAGGCCCACCCTGCAGGCCAGGGCAGACCCCCCACAGAGAGACCCCTCTCTGGGGCAGGAAGGGCGGGCCTCTGCCAGCCATTGGTCGGGTGCTCAGCCCTGGAGTGGTTCCATGGAGAAGAGCTGGAGGGAATCTAGAAACTAGAACAGAACCAGAAGGAGGGCTGAGCAGAGATGTGTCAGGTCCTCACATGGACACGGGTACCAGCTGCTGGATTCGGCCCCAGAGTCAAAGTGTTCCTCCCACCCCCACCCCCCCATGCCATCTGGGGTCCAGTCCCGGGGAGGGCTGCCTGCCCCGGTGTCGGGGTTTCACGGCCCGCCCGCCTTGGACACCCAGCCCGGGGGCCCAGGTGCCAACACTCACCTGACATGGTGCAGCAGCTGCTGGCAGTGGTTGTGGTACTGTTGGAGCCAGGCCTTGAGCTGGGTTGGGGCGACCACCAGCAGAGGGTGACACGGCTTCCCTAGAGACGCCTGAGACAAGGACACCCAAGCGCCAAGTCAGCGACAGGCGTCTCAACGGGAGCGGTTCTGAGTGGCAGGAGGTGTGGCTGCTGACGTGCCAGCCAACCAACTCAAATGGCAACAAAATCAAGTGCCACACTCACCAGAGCTCGTTCTCTCTGCAGTAGAATATTCAGCAAGCCCTGGGGGCAAGGAAGGGAACACACGTCAGCCGTGGCCAAAGTTGACTCTCTGCCCCGCATACCCCTCCTGGAGTCCTTGTCATGCAGCGGCTCCTTCCTCCCTGTTGGCCATCATCCCCCAGGGTGGCCATGGGCAGTGTGACCAGGGACCCAGCTGAGGTCTCCTCGAGGCCAGCCCCGTGAAGGCCAAAGCCCCGCTGCTGTGGGATGGGGGACGCGAACGGAGGGACAAGGTGGTTCCCCCAGCAGAGCAACTGCAGCGGTGAAACAGCTGGGGCCCTGGGTGCGTCTGGGCACAGCACTGAAGGCCAGCTGGGGGCGCGCACGGACCCAGGCGGCACCTGCCCTCCATGGGGTCGTCCCCCACCACTCACGGTGTGGTGATCCGCGTGCAGGTGGGACACGAACACGGCGGCCAGGGTGCCCAGGATCCTGTCCACCTCGTCCCCGTAGTGACGGCAAAGCTGCCCGAACGTGCCTTCCCCACAGTCCAGGAGCAGGGACCTGTCTGGGCTGCAGGCAAGAGCGACAGTCAGGCTGCTGGGAGAGGCTTCAGGGAGAAGAGGAGGCAGCAGTTGCGTACTTCCTATACCTTCCAGAACCTCTCGTGCTCACTCAGAAGCGTCTCTACACACAAAGGCAGTTTCAGGCGTCTGAGCTCATCACATAAAGGAACTGGTCAGCCCCGGAACCCTGAGACCCTGAACCTATATGGAGTACCCAGCGCTGCACAAAGGCTGGCACTAGGACAGTTGGGGAATGGGAGGACGAAACCCTTTACCCCTGAGGGTGCATCTCTGATTATTTAAAATGAACATGGCGACACCCCCCATAGATGATACCAGCTGCGGGCACCATGTGTGGACGTGGGAGGTCTGGCTGCCATGCACCTGCTGCCCTAGTCAAGGAGTTTGAGCCTCTTGGCCTGCTCTCCACCCCACGGGCTAGTGCAGGACAGGCTGCGGGTACCCCTGCAGGGGAGTGACCCAGCGGAGGCCTGCTGTTGCCAGTGAGTCGGGCTCAGCTTGCTTCGATCCCCATGGCCCATCACAGAGCCTCAGCGCCACAGGAGAGGCGAGTCTCCTGCTGGCCTTTGTCCGCCTCTGGAGGAGCCACCAGACTGGGAGCACTGTGCCTGTGCTCCAGGGAGACACCTGAGTCCAGACACAGGGCCTCCTGCAGATGGACTGTGTTGCGGAAGCCTCGGCCACCCAGGGTTCCGGAAGAAGCCCCTTCTACTGGGCCCCTCGGCCCCCCCAGGACAGGCCTGCTGAGGTGCTTTCCTGCATCTCCTTAGTGGCAGGAAAAGTGTGTCCCAGACGGCGTAGTTCTGCTAGCACAGTGCACTGTAAGTGCTGTCCTCATCCACCCCCAGCATCTGAGCTGACACAGCAGAATCTGAAAGCCAGCCTGCTACGTCCTGGTCTGTCTTCCCTCACGTAGGCATCTGCAGACGTGAATGCTACACGGTGCAGACGTGAATGCTACACGGTGTTACATGGTGCCCTGGGTTCTCTTCTTTGCTGGCAAGGACACCACGCAAACCCCGGAGTCCACCAAAAAGCCCCCAGTACAGGGCCTGAACGTGAAACAAACACATGCACCCAGCAGCTATCCCCACATCGGCAGTGACCAGTGAGGACAGGGCGTGGCACAGCAGCGTAGACAGTAACTCACATTCCAGATCTGCCCCTGACCAGCTGTGGGAACGAGTAACCTCTGGGAAGGTTAGTTAGTTCACCAATCAAGGAAACAGGCAGTCACTGCTTCGTAGGACTACTGGGAAAACGCAGTGAGGTGGTTTCTCAGTGAGGTGCAACCTACAGCAGAGCCGCTGTTTCAAACCCTCGGCAGGAGAACAGGGGATGGAGTCTGGCCATTCTCGGAGCCTCTTAGGGGCGTGAACACCGATGACTCCTCTTCCAGATGCTCTGGCCAAGGTGACAAACTCAGGCAGAGTCACACTGGCCCATCTTCACGTTAGCCTGGGCTGGGGGTGGGGGACAGGACCGGCAGGCTCCCCGGTGGACGGAGGCCCCCTTGGGGAATAGCAGTACCTTATGTTGACAAGCGTGGCGCTGACGTTTCGAATCTTCATCGGGATGGCAGAGCCTGTTCCGAGGAAGATGATTTCTGGATACTGGCTTCTTTTCTCTGTGGAAAAACACGTGGAAAAGAGTCCATTTCTTTGGATCAAAAGTGAGCCAGCATCCAGCTCCCAGGAGGGGTTGGTGATGCCCCCGCAGGTGTCCTTACATGAGGACCTCCTCCTCTGAGGCAGAGCCACAGGCTGTTTGTGGGTAAATGGCTGTCTGGGAGAGAGGGCAAGTAAACCCCATAGCCTGTCCATCCAGAGAGTTGCTGTAAGGCTCTTACATAACACAGGGCACTTCTCAGGCACCTGGGTGGCTCAGTGGTTGAGTGTCTGCCTTTGGCTCAGGGTGTGATCCTGGAGTCCCGGGATTTGGTCCCGCATCGGGCTCCCTGCAGGGAGAACCTGCTTCTCCCTCTGCCTGGGTCTCTGCCTCTCTGTGTCTCTCAAGAATAAATAAAATCTCAAAAAAACCCACAAAAAAGGCCACAGGGCACCTCTCCATGTTATGTGAATCATTTACGTCAAGGGACTGGCATCCACCTGGCGTCCAGCTGTCACCACCAGACCTGTACTTCCTGTGGGTGCCGTACCGCCCTGCTGGATAGGAAGCTCCCTGCTTTATAGGGTACAAACGGGCTCCGAGGGCCAGCCCTCCAGAGAGGAAGAGGCAGAGCCAGGACTTGGGGCCAGAGAGACCTGATGATCCCAGGGGATCTTTAACGTGCAACCCAGAAATCCAGTCTCACACCCCCAAAGGCGAGTTAGGGAAGTCAGTCTTCCCCAGACAGACAGGAAGGCTACTTTGAAAGAGGCTCCGCACAAACCCAGGCAGAGTTCCAGGGAGAACCTGCAACTGGGTGAAAGACCACCTGGCCACGTTCATGCCAACACACTGTTAGTCCAGCACTCCCTGCTTCTAGCATGAGCTGAAAAGCACACTATGAAAACCAGCTCCTGGAGCAGAGGTCCCCAGGCTCCCCCTAACGACTCCTCCTGATAGGGCAGAGGAAAAGCCCAGCAAGGCGAGTTACGTGGCCAGGTCTTCCATGGATCCCTATCTGCAAAGGCAGGACTAGATCCCGAGTTGACTGAGCTTGGTACAAAGTTCTTTCTATAGTCTTGCAGAGGCTCCCAGACCCGCTGCACATGGTGCATGCCTGCTACAGAACAGCTGGGCGCCATCGCCAAACGTTCAGATTGAACTGGTCTTGGTGGAGCGGGCAGACACAGGTGCTCCTGGAGAATAAAGGAGCAGCGGATTATGTAACTAGACCTGGTTCAATGGTGCCAGGGGGATGTTTTACTTAGTGCTTTGAAAACACCTGCAGGAGGGTAGCAGCTAAGAGAGGAAGGTTGCCCCGTGGTCTTCTGCTCACCTGCTGGGGCTGGGCCATCCTGCATAGCCTTCCGGTATTCCTGCACACTCTCTTGAAAATTGGGGAGCTCCAGGGCCTCGGCTATGAATTCATCGGGATTGCAGACAATGACAGCATCCCTGCAGGGAAAAAAGCCATCTCAGGTGACCAAAGTGGGCGGGCACATGGCCTCAAGCAAACAAGGATCTGGGTACCCAGAATCAATTTTGGACACAATGTGCAGAAGGTTCTCCAGATCAAGACTGAAGTCTAAGTGACCCTGGGCACTGCTGTTCTCCTGCACATGGAACCCTTCTCAGGTAAGCAGGGGTCTTGGAGCCCTCAGGACATCTTGGCTCAGAATGTGACAATCTTGGCGCTTCTGACATCTGGGGCAGAGTCCCGTGCAGCACCCCCGACCTCTACTTGCTGGATGCCCCTGGCACCCCCAACCCTTGCCAGACCATCACAACTAAAAATGTCCCCAGACCCTGCCTCATGTCCCCTGGGTGCCAGAGAAAGGGAGGGAAGGGTCACGCAGTCCCAGCTGACAAGCATAGCCAAAGAGCAGCAGCACCCGCACTAACACGTACACAGCCTGTCACCCGAGAGCCCTGTGGACACACAGGCCCTGATTTGGTGCCTCGTTTCTAGCAAGGCCCCGATGCTATGACGTGGCTGGTCCCAGCCACATGGAGAGGCAGGCCTCGGATCTGTGGCTTTCCACCCTGACCGGACACCGTACTCACCCGGGAGCTCACACAGCTCCCCAGGCCCAGCTGCCCAGATTCTCACCTGTGAGGTTCAAGACTTGGACTCTGCCCAGGTCAAGGTGAACCCAGCCAGGCTCGTGTATCAAAGTTCACAAACCACCTGCACATGCTGACAGCAGGCTCTGAAATCCCAAGCCCACCTCCGTGGGCCCCAGTAACACGACCATGTGGTCTCCTGGAAAACCCAGCTACTCAACAGCAGAGCCTCATCATTCAGGAACAACTAACACAGACACAGCAGTAGACAGGAAGCTCCAACTCACTCAAAACCTGAAGGACGTGGTGGGGCAGGAAGCACTTCTCACCTTACTGGCTGGACCATCAACGGGGTTGGGGGCAGTGTCACGTTCACTGGGTGCCTTAGAACAGGTCACACCCGACCCAGTAACCCCACATCTAAGAACCACCCAGAGGGGACAGAGTTCCACTCAATCACTGACATACAAAACAGTTAATGCTTCATTAAAACAACAACCTAGAAATATCTAAGAGGAGCAAACATCCCTCTCTGAAGTACCCACGAAAGTCTCCTTACTGAAGGCCACGTAATGACTCCAGAACAGACAGGCCACAAGCACACACGGCCACGTGCTCCAACTTAAGAAACAAAACGCTAACAATCATTATCTCTTATCTCGGAGACAGGATTAAGCGTGGCTAATCTTTTCCATCAAACACTTTCTCTGTAAAACAAGGGACATGTATCACTGTTATCATGAGGGAAAACACGTTTAGGAAGGAATAATCACTGGCCTCTTCCCACCTCAACTGGGGACCTGATTTTGCTCGGAAACTCAGTAACACCAGTTTGTTCACTTGTGGTCGAGGCTCCGTCTGGGGCAGGGGTGGACGGAATTCAGTATCCGGGACACACTCCACGCTGGGGCTGAAATATTTACTACCTGGCCCTTTACGAGAGGAGCTTGGCAACCCCCGATCTAGACCCTTCTGCTAGCTCAGGGTCGCACACAGACCTCTGCCACTCCCTCCGCGGACGGAGCTGATACTTGAGGAGACATTCGCCCCGGACCGTGGGCACGCGGAAGGTGGTGTGTTCCTCCTAGAAGACACAAGTCACACTCTGTGGAGAGGAGGACAAGGCGGGGGGGGTGGGGGGGCGGGGGGGGGAGCGGGGTGGAGGAGGGCCTGGGCCAGGGGCTGGGGGGCCACAGGTGACACTACCTGGCGGTGGGGGGTGGCAAGCGGGGGGAAGATGTCGGAGTGGATGAGGCCGAGCTGCGTCTGGATCTTGTGGCTGCGGAGATTGTGGACCGAGGAGCAGCTCTCATTCAGGATCAGGTGCTGGGTGGCAGGTCCAAACCTATGACAAGACAGCGCGTTTGCAGCATCCCTCAGGGAGGCCTCCCACTGAAGGGGAGCGACGACCCCAGGAGCAAAGAAGGTAGATGGAAGCGTTCAGAGGAGTAAGTAAGTGGCAGGTCCAGAGAGATGGGCCCCCAGGGTCCCGCTCTGCTGCCTCTGCGTTGTGTCCTCTCCAAACCCAAGCACCTCTGGCTGTGCTGGAAGGAGCCCCAGAAAAACCCAGAAGACTGAGATGTCAGGAGCCCATAGCCAGGGGCTGGGAACCAAGTGGAGTACAGGGCGGGGGAGGAGGAGGCACGGTCATGGACGTTAGGACTCAGGCCCTCCAGGGAGGGGGGTGAGGAGCATGGAAGAGCGGGAGCCTGGGGGCTCATGGGGAAGGAGCAGAGGCTGGAACCACCCCCAAGTCCCATGTGCTCAGAGTTCAGCTCTGATCCACCCTCCCAGCTGCTGCTGAGCTCTGCCACTGGGGACCCAAGGAAGAGGCAGGGTGACCGCTTTTGTCCCTGAGGTTGGCAGACCTCTGCCTCACGGGGCTAGTGGGAAGAGGGGAGGAAATGGGTGGAGATGCAGAGTCGTCAACACACTGCCTGTCACATGCCCGATGTCCCGTAAACTGAAGCTGTCACTGTACACTGACGAGGCTCTCCTTTAGGATGGGATCAGGGATCATCGGGGGCAGGCGCAGGCGCTCATCCAGACCCTGGCCTGGAGGGTGTAGCTGGACCCTGCAGGGCCCCACACAAGCCACATGGGCGTGCATACCGCGCCACCTAGTGGCGGCTTTTCTGCACAGTGGCAGGGGTGGCTGCTCCCCACACTGTGCGGGGCGGGGAGCCCAGGGAGCGAGGGGAGGCAGCGTGTCCAGAGGCAACGGGGACAAAAGCAAAGGGGTCCTACCTCTCCATCCACTGCTGGTACCTGGGGTCCGCCAGCACACGCTCGGGGGCCATGTGCACCACCAGCGCCACAGGGGCATCGGCATCGCCTTGGTACCTGCGCGGCAGGAATGAGCTGTGCGCCGGGCGCTGACCCAGACTCAGAACCCCCGCGAAGGGCGACCCCGGCTTGCTCTCGGGTTTTCCAGCTTCCCTCACCTCACTGCCAAGGCCGCGCACACCAGCCCCGCCCCAAAGTGCCGGTGCCTCCGTAAATCCTGCAGTGGGAGCGTGACCCCGGCACCCCCAGGCCACTCAGAGCACGGGCGTTCGCAGACACGGCCCGACGTGCCAGGAGGGCCACAGGTCAGACAGGCACCCCCCGGGCGCCCCAGGCTCCTCCCAGCCCCAGGGCCCCCTTACCTCCGGAGGGTGGCGTTCTCACACACCGGCTGAATGAATTCTTCGTCCGGACATTCTACCACAATAAAAGCAAGACCAGGATCTGGAGGAGTACAGATCTCTTCAGGCAAAATCTGCAAAATCAGGGCGGTCACGATTCCCTCGCGGGGCCAGGCCCAGCTCCGCAAACACGCTGACTGGCTTCAGGTCAACGGCCAGCCTTACGTGATCCCTCCTGAACAAGCACAGAAGCAAGGTCAGGGCCACCCCCACGCCGCCGGCCGGCCTGCAGAGGGCCCGCACCCCCAGAGAGGCCGTGGAACCAAGGTCCCTCAGGTTGGCGGCCACTGGCCCGGACATCCTTAGACCCCGGAAGAAACATCCCAGTCAACAACACGGTGGCCTTCCTCGGGGGCCGTGGACCCCAAATCCAGCCCGGAAGGAGGAAGCATCCATCCCACCAGGAGCAGGACCCTCAGGTGCTAACAAGACCCCCTGCAGATCCACAGCCAGCGTGGGTGAGCAGGACAGGTCCCGGTCAGAGACCCCATCTTATCCCTTGGCCAAGTGAAGGAATTCAGGGCTGTTCCATTTCCCCTAATGGTGAGGTCTGGAGGGCCTGACCCAGACAGCGACTCTGTTCCGGGCCCCGGCTACCACAGCTGAAACATCACAATAATGGGGTGTCTCACCTCCCTGCCCTCATAAGTGATGCTTTTCCCGTCCTTGACAGCAGCAATGATGGGGGCAATGGCAGCTGTCCCGCTGAAAGAAGAGGCCAGCCATCCGTGAGGCAGGGTGCGGCAGGGACACAGGGGCCCCCTCTTTCACCCCACTCCCCGAGAGCCATGACAGCACGCCCTGTCAACACTCACACTGGCAGGCCCAGCTCCTTGGCTTTGAGCACCAGGAAGTTGCCCTTCTTCACGTGAAGCTGTGTCAAAGAGAAGGGAAATGCCATCTCAGCGAGGAGGGAGGAGGCAGCTCGGCCGTCATCAGCCTTCGTCCAAGTGCTTTTACTCTCTAATGTCGCTTTGTCACCGCTCACCTAAACGCAGGCTGGTCACTGCTCTGCGATTGAAGTAGGCTACATTCCACGCTACATTCCCAGGAAGTTGATTATCCTGAAACACTTCAGGACTAGAAGCTCAACGATTTAAAACACTGTGCATTCTTTCCCGACAGTAGCTTGTTACAGATTTAATAAAACGCGCTCCATTTCCAAATGGATTAACAGTCTTCGCATCTCCTTGAGAAGAAGCACCTGTGTCCCAACATCTTGCGCTCGCTGTGTAAGAGCTAACAGAACGGGACAAGTGTGTGGCCTCAAAGAACCGATCACGCAAATCCCCGTGCAACACAATAGTGCACTGACGGTGACAGGGTTGCAAAAGCATGGACAGTTTTTCACGTACCTGTGACACGTGCTGCTTCTACCCTGGAGAAGATTGTAATGAGAAATCCCCAATATGCTCTTATGTTAGGAGGGCAAACAACAATGTAATACTCAAAGATGTGTATTAATATTTTAGGCCCTGATTTTTTTTTTATTTTCACATATGATTTCATATGTGAGATCTGGAGCTCTGGAAGGAGATCTGGAACACGTACACACTTTTAAGTACAGAATGATTACGTAGGATTGTTGATGATTATGTAGGATCAAGCCCTACCAGGATTCTAGAATTTTCTGGCTCAGCAAACGTGACCCTACAGGAGGGCTTACAGCTTAAGTGTGTGCGTATGAGGCAAAGATGATGAGCCTGGATGACCTCTTCAGAGACGGACACTAGCACACCTGCTGTGACCCAGCATTCTCTCCACAGACCCAAGGTGGGAAACTACATGCGCTAATGTTTCACAGGAACTTGCAGACCAAAGGTGGGCAAAGCTCCTCCCTTGACGATGAGCTGAGCTCAACCCACGAGAAGCTGTTCCCACCTGAGGATGCGGAGCATGTGGAGCACAGAAGAGACAAAGAACGCCATCCCATGAGGCCCCAGGCTGGCACGCAGAGCCTCTCCTAGCAGAGGGCAGTCTGCATCTCAGGCCCTCGCTTCTCTGACCTCCCAGAGCTGGGACGAGTTCAGCTTTACTGCCTTCCAAGCCCTCAGCAGAGCGCAGCACACTAGCTCTATGAGGATCAAGGGCCCAGAGGCTGAGCCAGTGAGAGCAGCGCTCAGAAGGGCCAGGCCGTTGCCGCAGCCTTGGGAACAGTGGCCCAGAACAGCCAGGGTTTACCCCACACACAGCACAACCCATCACGCCCCACCGCCTCTATTGAGGGAGGGGAAAAGGACTGGACACAATTACAGACATACACAGAAACCTACTTCAGTAATTATTTTGCTGCCTAAAAACTGAGAAATACACAAGTAACGAACTTGACTTTTCTAAAACTACTATTGAAATAAATTGACAGGAGGGATACTGATGATGATGATCTTGCGACTAGTAACTATTCTGACTGACCCTCCGGGAGCATTTTCCCCGGTTGGTGTGAGGACTTGGGTAAGAACTGCAGATATACAGCCGACATCACTCCTCAAAAAAATAAAAAAATAAAAAAATAAAATAAAATAAAATAAATAAAATAAAATAAATAAAATAAAATAAATAAAATAAAATAAATAAAATAAAATAAAATAAAATATAAAATAAAAAATAAAATAAAATAAAATATGAAATGAAATGAAATAAAATGAATTGAAATGAATTGAAATGAAATGAAATGAAATAAAATAAAATAAAAAATAAAATAAAAAATAAAATAAAATAAAATATAAAATAAATAAAATAAAATAAATAAATAAATAAATAAAATAAAAAATAAAATAAAATAAAATAAAATAAAAATCACTGCCCACTTAAAAAAAAAAAATCACTGCCCACAGAAGGCCAAGGTTGAGCCTTACCGCAGGTTAAAGCGTTTGCTGCAGATAATAAAATTTTAGTGCAAAAAAAAAAAAAAAAAACAAAAAAAAATTTTAGTGCAGAGCCCTATTAAAACTAGACCATCAATCAAATTTTTTAAAATGCCCTAACAGAATTTTCACAGAACTGGACCGACTTCAGGTTTGTGGACACAGGCCTCCGGGAATGCTAGCCAGAGTTAAAATTAGTCCAGTGCTGGCAGCTGAACAGCTACAGTAAAAGGATACAAACTAACGCATAGTGGAACGAGTCTGGGTGAAGGCTGGCTCAGGAGAAGGCTAACGAGGTTGCCTTTATTTCTCAAGTGCAAGACAGCCGATCGTAAGCAAACATAGGCCAGCATGTAGGCAGACTGGCTCTGTTGCCTGAAGAACATTTGAAAGTATGCAAGGAGAAAGGGACCAGGGACTTAGGAGGTGCTCACTTCGAATCCCTGGATGAGAGCTAAGCGACGTCACCATCACATGCCTGCCCGACAGGTGCTTGCTTACCTTACACACAAAAGCTACAACCAAGGCGGGGTCCCGGCCGCTCTTCTTCTGGCCAATATCTGAGCAAAAACAAATCTGATTGTAACAAGGCAAACGTGAAGCTTCATGGGCTTCACAGACTGATGATGCCCTGAGGTCTAAATCGGCTTCATGCCAAATGAAACGGACAAAGGTCGAAGGAAATACTGGTGCTCCTTCCCCAGCAGGACCTGTTCTTTTTCCTCCTCACGCTGAGGTCAGAGTAAACGGAAGATGCAAATCGCTAGTCAGAAAAGCTTGAGAACTGACTAGTAAGATGTTTGAGAAAAATGACACAATTTACTGAGATGTGGAGGAGACAGAAAAAATAAGCTGTAACATTCTTTATAAACAAGCTTATGTGAAACACCACAAAGCCGGAACGGCCTGCAGAGAAAATGCGGGTGTGGGTCTTCAGCTGGGCCATCCCAGGAAGGACAGGCCCAGGGTCTGTCCTTCTCGGTCCTCAGACAGACATGATCCAGGCAGGAGGGATGTATCAGCCCTGCTCAACACTGGACGACAGACCCTTCAGTGGTCCAAGTCCTCAAACACATCTTGGGATTTTAACTCACTCAGCAGGCCATCCTTGTAGAAGGAAAGGGGCAGATCTGCTCATGGATCTGATGGGTCGGCTTAGCAGTTTTCCGCATTTGTGAAAAATTGCTTTGCGTTAATGGGAAAAAAAAGTGTGAAAGCCTCAGAATGAACCAATCTGCCAGACCCTGGCCTCCTCCGGGGAAACCCCACCAGTGCTGGGGATCGAACTGCCACCTTCATGGCAACCCTTCCCACTCTGCCCACGGGCTGAGTCCTACAACATGCCAAGGGAGAAGGACCCGTTTCATACAGAGGCTTCCCATGATAACAATTCCAATCTGGAGTAGTAGATTAAAAAAACAGAAGGGCCGTAGATTAAGAAAACACAAGTCTCTTGACAGTGCCCTGTTTCTATTTAAACAGTATTACCGTCTGGAAGGTGCTGCTCGTTTTCGGCGGATCCAGAATCCGAAGACTGCCCTGGACTGAGTCTTTCTGGACTCTGAGATGGCTGGCGTTCTGCTCGCTTCAGTTCACCTGGTTAGTGTGGAAAAGTCAGACCCCAGGCCCAGAGGGGAACTTTGGGCCAGAGCTCAGGTGTTCGCATGAACCCGCGGCAGAGTGCCCACTAAAGCAGCCTGCCTGCTACTGTGACAGCTAGTGATGTCCCTGCCCTGGTCTTGGGGCCGCAGGACCTCTGGATCCTTTCTGTTTCTGCTCAGCTCAGAGCCCTGGCTACAACAGGAACTCGATGGTGTAGGTGGGCTAACACACACTCAGGCAGCAGGCTGGGTGATGCACCAGCACCACCCTCAAAAGGCAGACCTAGGCCTAAGGTTACCCAGCACCACAGGTGCGGTTCAGGGGGCCAAACTTCACAGTCCGTTAAGTCTCTAGGCCATGAAACCCCATCATGGCAGGAAAAGGCTGGCTCGGCTGCCATGTCTCAGAAACCTGTCTGCCCTGTGCGTGCACTCTCGTTCCTTATGGCCCTCTGGGTGCTGGGACATACGGCCACACACATTATTAAAGCAACCTAGCATCTGCCAGGAAGGGAGGAAGAGTGAGGGACGCGAATCAGGCCTGGGGGTCAGCAGGGGTCAGGGAAGAGGAGACATCGGACCAGGAGTGAGCCAGGCAGGGCGAGCTGTGATGTGACCGGTCATCTCACTGCCCACACCCCCGCAACACGTTTGCTTCTGCTCAGTCCACACATCCTCCAGCTTCCCTACATGGGCACCGTGCAAGCTTCATCTCCTGGCCGGTGCTGGGCTTCTCTGCCCCTCCTTGGGGGCTCTCTTCTGTGTCCCTTCAAGCCCTGGGCAGGCATCAGCGCTGTCAAGGAAATGTCCCTAGTGTCCTGTGTTCTCACCATTGGCACAACCTGGTGTGTAGTGGGACTGGCCAGGCGCATGGACTCTGACGTGGCAGGGCCTAACATGCAGACTGTCTCTAAGTCAGAACCACATCATCTGGCCCTGAGACCACCTGGCCAGCTAACACTTCCATCGGCATATTTATATAAAATACAAAAAAAAAAAAAAAAAAAAAAAAGTTCACTAGCGTGAACCTCTCCAGCATCCTCTCTCCAGATATCTGTGGCAAATAAACCCCAAGCAATAAACGTGTACATCTGAGGGCAATCTGTCGTCTGACACTACTTGATTAGGTAACATCCCAAAGTGTGACCTCGATCATCACATAGGAGTTAACTGTGTAAGATTAGAAGCTCCTGGAGATCCCTGGGTGGCTCAGCAATTTAGTGCCTGCCTTCGGCCCAGGGTGTGATCCCCGGGGTCCTGAGATAGAGTCCCACATCGGGCTCCCTGCATGGAGCCTGCCTCTCCCTCTGCCTGTGTCTCTGCCTCTCTCTCGCTCTCTGTGTGTCTCTCATGAATAAATAAATAAAATCTTCAAAAAAAAAAAAAAATAGAAGCTCCTTAAGGGCAGGGACTGTGTCTTACTTCCTCAGCGAAATTTCCTAACCTCTTTCAGAACACAAAACTGGGTATACAGAGCCGGTATTCCAGCAGTTTCTGTCTTTACCCCACATTTTCCTTGCCTGGGACCGACACTGCTCCCTCCTCCTAGGAAACGAGGCTTGCATACTCACTGTATATGGGGATCTGGAAGACGGTCATGGTCTCATCCTTGTATTCTGGTGCAGAGTGGGGCCTCACGGCTGTGGGAAAAAGACCACGGACAATGAACTGCACTGGACAAAAGCACTGGGTGGGGGGTGGGGAGATGAGCTTTCCAGATCACCAACTGCGGGCTAAAGACCTGCCTTGGAATTCTGCTGGGAATCAACACTAAAACCAGAATCTCAGAGTTAAATGACAATTTTTAGGAAAGAAGCGCCAATATATATTCACCAGCCATTAGCATTTACTACACTAAACAAGCAACAACAAAAAAACAGATTGTGATCACTACTCTGAAAAAATTTTAAAAAAGAAACCAATTCTCAAATTTCAGAGGCATAAGTGAACACACAGCATTGTGCGGCCAGGGAATCTATCAGCTAGACTGTAAGAGCTGGCATTCATTTTGAAATAAAATATCAGTGTTTCTGTTAGAGAGGAGCACTGATAAACTGGGGATGCATGTGGACTCTAGCACGGAGGCCCCAGGAAGAGGCCGCGGGCCTCCCAGCACAGCCAGAGCCAAGGCTCAGGGTAAACAGTGACAAGCTTCTAGATTCCTCTGCTCACATCCCCTCTTCCTACCACAGGCACCTGGAGGCAATTCATCTGAGACCATCTCTAGCCTGTATGTGGGGGCAAGACGTGGGGGCACAGAAATGGCCACAGGCAATATTTTAAACACGCATCTCACTGATGAAGCATTCGGTTTTAAGGTTTAATGTAGTCTACTTTTTACGGATTCTCATTTCAGAGACTGGGGCAGATATAAGGAAGAAATGGTAGATTATGAGTCAGTCAGGAACTTACCCAGGTCTATTCCTTTCAATGGACCAGAAAATATTTTGATAGCTTCTAGGTATTTTTCCTACAAAAGAAAAAGAAAAGCAGCAGCTATGGTTGTACAAACACAGAACACAGCAACACAGCAGTATGTGAGAATTATCAACTGGCATCAACACTGGGGCGCCTGGGTGGCTCGGTTGGTTGAGTATCTGACTTGATTTCAGCTCAGGCTGTGATCTCAGGGTCGTGAGATAGAGCCCAGTGCTGGGCCATGTGCTCAGTGGGGATTCTGCTTCAGATCCTCTCTCCCTCTGCCCCTCCTCCCATTCACCCACATGTGCACTTGCTCTAAAATAAAATCTTGGGCGCCTGGGTGGCTCAGTGGTTGAGTGTCTGCCTTTGGCTCAGGTCGTGATCCCAGGGTCCTGGGATTGAGTCCCACATCGGGCTCCCCCACAGGGAGCCTGCTTCTCCCTCTGCCTGTGTCTCTGCCTCTCTGGGTCTCTCATGAATAAAATCTTTTTTAAAAAAAGAGGCATTGACGTGAACTTTAGTATTTTGAATCACCTTTACACAAATGTTTACTGAGTGTCCACTATATGCTGGGTGCCAAGGGCTCACCAGTGAGCAGGGTGTGAGTCCCCACCCTCGTGAAACTTAAAATCCAATGGAGACAAAACTGAAACAAATGAGCATTAACAAACGGGTAGCAGCAGTTGTGCTAAGCATCTGCAAGAAGCTCAAGAGACACCAGGGCCAGGGTACACCCTGTCTGGAGAGTCAGGCGGGCTTCTGTGCACACGTCCTTTCAGCGGAGCCCTGAAGGCTCAGAAGGCAGGCCTTGGTATGAGAAGGGATTCTGGGTAGAGCTAAGAGTGGCCCACAGAGCTCCAGCGTGGAGACTGGATACAGATGCCAGGCATGGGCAAGGGCCAAGACCCCAGGGCTCGCAGGCACAACAAATGGTGTTTGTGCTGCTTTGCAGTGGAGAAGCCCCAAGGGTTCTGGGTGTGATGCACCTACACATGTGCCCTAAAGAGGCCCCTCTGGCCACCGTGTGGGGGATAAGCAGCTGTCACAGGAGCATAGGGCAGGAGACACAGATAAGAAATGCCTTAAGGGGAAACAAATGGGTGGATCTGAGGCACTACTTTGGAGACAGAATTAATAGTACTTGGCAACTGGGTCGCCTTTCATCTGAAGAACTGGGAAGTGAACTGTCAGCCAGTGGTGTTAACAACGTGCATGCAACTTCTCAACAGTGTTGAGAAGCTGGTTTGAAGGTATGAAAAGGGCTGAAATTTACTAAGAATAAGTGCTAACATCCACTGTGTGCCTCCTTGGTGCCCAACAGGGGATAAGTTGGCCTGTTTTATATGTGCACTTCATGTAATCCTCAGCAACTTTAGGAATTTATAGCCATCTCCCAGATGAACAACCTGAGGCTCTAAGAGGTAAAGAAACTGGTGCAAAGTCGCACAATTAATAAGGCTTTGGACTCAGGTCTCTTTCACTTGATAGGCTCCACCACTGGTTAACTCTGGAGGGCGAAAGACAAATTTGCAGAAAACGGAAATGCTGGTCACTGACACGAAAAAAAAAGGAGGGGTCAGCTGGAAAAGCTGAGTCAGTGGGGTGGCGGTTGGGGAAGTACTCACCAGTTGTGGAGGTCCAGAAAGCACACACTTGGGGAGCCCGGTTTCCTTCAAGGTAAGAATCATTCCTGGAAGGAGAAAGAACATCAAGCTGTCTCATCACCAGGCCCTGTAGCTGCCACTGGGAGGCGCACTCCTTCCTTAACCAGCTACAAGTCTACATGTCCTCATTCCTGCTTCTGTACAGTGATCCCAGACCCCGGGGCAGAAGGGACTCCTCCTGCAGATGTAAGGGACACCACATATTCCTCAGATGCCTCCAGAATGGTCAGGGCTGAGGCTGGGGTGAGGCAGGGAGGCATGAGGAGTGCAAAAATCACACCAAATGAAGGGATGGCTTAAAGTTCTGCAGTGTAGGCACCTCACTGCCTTGCCTTGGTCTCAGTGTTGCACTCCTTCCTAACCATGTCACAAAACTTAAGGAATTTGGCAGTGACATAATCTTAACCTTCCTAGTTGTTGGGTTATGAATAATGGGGTGAGCTGGATGGTGGGTAGCTGCCAATAATCTCAGCGGTATATGCACGTCCTGTAACCATTACCCACTACACCCTCCAGTTTACTGGCACGTATCTCCGGTCCAGCAACTCAATAAACAGAGTAGATGACAACGCTTGGAGAAGCAGCATCCATGTTCACATCTGTCCTGAGTCACAGCTTTCCAAGCTGCGGCTGACAGGGCAAGCAGAAAAGAGGATTCCAGCTCCTCTAGACTTGGAAGATGGGCCAAAAACAAACCAAAAAGAAAGAGAAAGAAAAGAAAGAAAGAGAAAGAAAGGAAAGGAAGGAAAGGAAGGAAAGGAAGGAAAGGAAGGAAAGGAAGGAAAGGAAGGAAAGGAAGGAAGGAAGAAAGGAAGAAAGGAAGAAAGGAAGAAAGGAAGAAAGGAAGAAAGGAAGAAAGAAAGAAAGAAAGAAAGAAAGAAAGAAAGAAAGAAAGAAAGAAAGAAAGAAAAAGAACCAGGCAGGCTAAAATCCTAGAGGCTTCCCTCGAGCATCTGACCTTGGAAGGAATATACTTACCACACAACCCCCCCACGTTACACCAGTGCATTCGGGTCAGGAATATGTTATCCAAACGAGCCACCTTCAACCTAAGAATGACAAAACATTTGAGCAGGACGGCACAGGTCAACCCCTAGAGGCCCTTTCTTCTGCTATAAAAACATCTTGTCCCTCACCCTGGGCTCTCAAGCCCCCATGAGCATCTCTGCCTCACCACCACCCCCCCAAAAAAATGGTTGACTCACTTGTGCTCCTGCATGAGTCTCTGGACGCCCTCCCCGCAGTTGAAGAGGTACCTACAACAGGACAAACATGACGCAAGAATCTCAGAAGATGGGACTCTGTTAAGATTCCTGCCACGCTTTGGAGATGCTTTATTGTGCACGACAGAAAACACCTGAAACACCCCTGTCCGTGCTACCGGGCTGCGTTTCTGGCCGTCAGGATGGTGCTTGGGGAGCCTCCCCAGGAGAGGCGAGCAGGGGACTGGGGGGGGGGGGGTGCCAAGATGGGTCCCTGCCGCCAGCACCTGCCAGCTGAGCTGATACCCCGCTGCCGAGCATGAGGCCCCCCGGTCCCGGGGCGCCCGGGCCGAGTGCGCTCCCAGTGTGCCAAGTGGGGCCTGGGGCGCCAGGGCTGGAAGGGGGACGCGCGCATCCCCGAGTCGGGGGCTCCGGGGACTGCCGGGAACTCCACGGGGGTGCATGTAAGGTCCGGGGATCTCCCCCCACCCCCACCCCCAGGGCCCAGGGTCGCGCCCCAGCAGCGGGGACACCCGGGCGCGGCGCACTGACCGGTTGTACTCCGAGAACACGTAGAGCGCCGCGCCCACGTCCCGGCCGCCGGCCGCCACCACCTGCAGGTACACGGTGTTCGGGCCCCCGGGCTCCCACGCCGCGCCGCGCTTCTCCCGCGTGCGCAGGTGCCGCAGCGGGTCCTTGGGCGGCCGCTGGCGGCGGGCGGGTCCCTGCGACATGGCGCGCCCGGCCGCCGAGCGCAGCAGCAGCAGCGAGCGGAGGAGCCACATGCACCAGCCTCCACCCGCGCCCCCAACGCGGGGGGTCACCCGGCTCCTCGTGCCCCACGCCCCGCCCCTCCGCCCCGCCCCTCCGCCCCGCGTGGCGGGCCCAGCCAATCAGCGCGCCGCGAGCCGAGCCGCCCGCCTCCTCGAGGCCGCGCGTCCAATAGGGAGGAGCCCTGCCCCTCGCGGCTTGTCAACGGGCGACGGCCATAGAGTGGGGGTCGGCTAGAGCGCCCCGGACGGCCCCGCCCCCGGCCTCCTTCCGGCTTTCCTTGGCGACGATTCTTGCCGGAAGCTGTGCTTCGCGTGGGGGCGGGACTTCCGGGAGGGCAGAGCCCGGAAGCGCGGTCCTGGCACGCGACGTTTGGCGTTTCCGGTGCGCGGCGGGCGCTCGCGGTCGGTCTCCCGCAGGTGTGGTCCGTCCCGCTGGGGCGAGGAGCTGTGGTTCTTCTCTGCGGTGGTGGTGGGTGGATTAGAGGGAGCCGTGGCGTGGGAGACTCGACGGATTTTATTTCCGGTGCGATTAGCGTGAGCGCACGCTTCGGATGATTGTTTTTGCCGTCTCTTGGGAAAGCAAGGCAGAAAAAGGGGTTAAGGGAGCACGCTCTGCAGCAGGAGGGTCTTGGCTCACCAATTGGGTGATCTTTAAAAAAAATTTTTTTTAAAGATTTTATTTATTTGTCTTAGAGAGTGAGTGAGAGCAGGAGCCGAGGGAGCTGCAGAGGGGGAGGGAGAAGCAGGGAGCCCGGGAGGGCCCGAGCCCAGGACCCGAGCCCAAGGCAGGTGCTTCAGGCCTGAGCCACCCAGGGCCCCGAATGGGGCGATCGTGACCGGTGAGCCCCGGTTTCCTTATCTGTAGAGGCGGAGGGGGCAGTAATAGTATCCACGCTCTACGGCCTTTGCAATTAAAGGTCCTAATGAGCTGTGGAAAGCGCCTCCAGGGGTGGGGAAGGGGCGCTCAGTGAGTGGTAGCAAAAGTAGAAGTGCTGAAGAGCTGCTGACGGGGGACGTGGTGGGGGAGCATCTGAACCCGCGAGGGCCGCTTTTTTTTTTTAATGATTTATTTTTTATTGGTGTTCAATTTGCCAGCATACAGAGTAACACCCAGTGCTCATCCCGTCAAGTGCCCCCCTCAGTGCCCGCCACCCAGTCACCCCCACCCCCACCCCCCGCCCTGCTCCCCTTCCACCACCCCTAGCTCGTTTCCCAGAGTTAGGAGTCTTTATGTTCTGTCTCCCTAGGAAGGGCGACTTACCTGGAAGCCCCACTCAAATGGGAAAGGGGCTGGTGGAAGGTTAGCCAGCAGCTCTGCAAAAATGCCTTCTGGGGCGCCTGGGGGGCCTGGGGGGCTCGGTGAAGTGTCTGCCTTCTGCTCAGGTCATGGTCCCAGGGTCCTGGGATCGAATCCTGCATCGGGCTCCTCCCTCTCCCTCTGCCCCGCACCCCCAAAGTTGTTTGTTTTATTTTATTTTATTTTATTTATTCATGATAGGCAGAGGGAGAAGTAGGCTGCACGCAGGGAGCCCGACGTGGGATTCAATCCCAGGACCCCCGGGGTCACGACCTGAGCCAAAGGCAGGCACTTAAACCGCTGAGCCACCCAGGCTGCCCCCGCTCAAGTCTTTAAAAAAAAAAAAAAAATGCGTTCTGGCAGGCACTTTTTTTTTTTTTTTTGGCAGGCACTTAAACCGCGGTGGGGGAACATCTGAACCGGGGCCATAACTTTGTGTTTAAGCCCTCTATGGGTGTCCAGTAGCAAATGTGTTTTCCTGACCCCCAAGAGGAAGGTTACTCGAAGTACAGAACACATTTTTTTTTTTTTTTTTTAATTTGAGAGAGGGTAGCCTGGGTGGCTCAGCGGTTTAGCGCCTGCCTTTGGCCCAGGGTGTGATCCTGGAGACCCTGGACTGAGTCCCACATCAGGCTCCCTGCATGAAGCCTGCTTCTCCCTCCTCCTGTGTCTCTGCCTCTCTCTCTCTCTCTCTCTCTCTCTCTCTCTCTCTCTGTCTCTCATGAATAAAAAAAAAAAAATAGAACCATAGGATCCAGCAATCCCAGTTCTGGGCACATCTCCAAAAGACATGAATTCACTGTCTTGAAGAGATATATGCACCCCCATGTTCCCTGCAGCATTATTCACAATAACCAAGACCTGGAAGTAACCTGAGTGTACATTGATGGATGGGTAAATAAAATGGGAGATATGCATGCTTATCTCTGTATAGATACACACATTTGTAACTATGAATGTATGTTTGTAAGACGTTTATGCAATATGTAATACATGTAGCATTTATAATTATTGCATATACACATAAAGCAATGCTATTCAGCAAACAAGGATTTGCAACATCACGGACGGAACTTGAGGGCATAATGCTAAGTGCAATAAGTCAGAGACAGACCTACTGTATGATCTCAATTACAAATGGAATTCAAAAAGAATTGAACTAGAAACAGAGTAGGTTGGTGGTTACCTGAGGGTGGAGGGTGAAGGTGGTCAAAGGGTACAGACTCCATTATAAGCTGAATAAGTTCTGGGGATCTAACGTGCAACATGGTTACTCTAACAATACTCGAAATATACTCGAAAGTTACTAAGAGAGTAGATGTTTAAATCAGACCCACCCAGATTCCAGGGGAGGGGCTACAGATTCCACCCCTAGTTGAAGAATCAAAGACCCTGCAGAAAGACACCGGGAATGAAGAGCCTGTGCTTCCCCAGAGCCCTCTGAGAGCCCTGTGAGCTCCCATGAAGACGTGGCCGTCATGCAGAATGAACACCGGTGTGGGTTTCCATAGATGTAAGAATATACATATGTAACTTACTACTCAGCTCTCTGGTATCTACACCTGTAGGTATGGTTGCCATGAGTCGGTCCCCTCACCCAGCCATCTCTCCGTGTACCTCACCAATCTTAATTTCTGCATCCACAAAGCTGAGGCAAACCCTGGGCTCCCGAGGCTCTCCTGATCTGACCAAAGGACACCTGCTCTGGGGACCTGAGGCTCCCATTGGCCTTCCTCAAAAACACGCTGATTCCTGAAATTTATTCAATCAACACATGGAGCTTATGCTACTAGGTCCTAGATACTGTTGGTGTACAGATCAGAACAGGATCGACACAGTCTTGCCACCCAAAAGCTCAGAGCTGGTGTCTTGGGGGCTGGGATGGAGCCTGGCCCTAGGGCAGAGGAAAATGTTAGAAGAGAATGTAGACCGTCAATGATGTTCTTGTCTTCATTGGGTCTAACTCAGGTGTTCCTGCTTTAGATCCCTGGAACCCAGACAACTCCACAAGATAGTTTTTGAATCAAAAGTTATTTTGAAACAAATCCTATAGTCTTCCAAAGACCAGTCATATTGCCCTCAAGTTGCTCAGCAGGTTCTCCAAACCACCTATCTTTGGTTACTAGGAACTTTGAAACAGTTCAAGCAGGACTTCCTTAGCTTCCCAGCTCTGTGCTCCAGGGCAGTCACGTTGCTGTCCTTCCAGGCAGGAGGAGCCCTCAGCATGCTTTGCTTATTGATCTAACCCTCTGTATGCATCACTTCATTTAATACTACTCACAAATCTGCTGGGATGTAATCATGACCCCCTTTCACAGGAGTTAAAACAGGCTCAGACACTCAATGACTTGCTTACAGTCTACACACCTGCCAGACTTCAAAGCCTTCAGGCCTAACCAAGCCAGCTTATCAGTGCCTAGGGATAGGATTCAGATGTTTTGGCCTAGGCTCCTCGTTCAGGGAGGGACTCAGATTTAAAATTTGATAGTATTTCTATCTGAGGTTACACAGTCAATACATGAGCAGGATTGAATGAAAGTGCTTTTCATACAACTTTAAACTTGGGTGCCCTTGCTGGATCAGAGGGTCGATGCCATAGGTCAACAAGAAAAGGCTTGGTGGCATGGGACACCTGGGTGGCTCAGTGGTTGAGCATCTGCCTTCTGCTCAGGTTGTGATCCCGGGGTCCTGGGATCAAGTTCTGCGTTGGGCTCCCCGGAGGGAGCCTGTTTCTCCCTCTGCCTGTGTCTCTGCCTCTCTGTGTCCCTCATCTATATTGTAGATTAATTTTTTTTTTTTAGATTTTATTTTCCTGAGAGAGAGCGAGAGAGGCAGAGACACAGGCAGAGGGAGAAGCAGGCTCCCTGCAGGGAGCCCTACATGGGACTTCTAGATGAAACATTGTCTGGGTGGCTCCTCCAATCAGCTGGCCCTGAGGCTCTGCCTGCAGGTGTCACGGCCACAGAGTGGAGGGGACCCAGTCACAGGGAAACAATCCCGAGGCTTGCGATGCCCGCCTGACCGGACCCGCCGCCTCCACCTGTTTTTAGGGCTTGTTTTTAGCGCCCTAAGTGCTAAGCACTGCTTGCAGTAGAAAGAAGGCACCCTTCACCAAGGAGCTTATGAACTGGCCGGCGGCTGGCAAAAGTGAACCATTGTATTTTGCCCTCACCAGTTTATACGACTGGTGGAATTTCCAACCTACATTGGTGACCCATCCACCCAGTGCTATCCCTCTGTCCCTCCAATGATCTATGTCACTTTTATACTACTTCAAACAAACATTATCTAGAGATTTCTTTCTTCTAACTTTGGGTCTCTCTCACTTCAAGCAGCTAGTGAGCTACCTCTCTCTGTCTCTCTCTCCCCCCCCCTCTTTTAGATTTTATTTATTCATGAGAGACACACAGAGAGAGAGGCAGAGACACAGGCAGAGGGAGACGCGGGTTCCCTGTGGGGAGCCCAATGTGGGACTCGATCCCAGGACCCCAGGATCACGCCCTAAGCCAAAGGCAGACGTTCAACCACTGAGCCACCCAGGTGTCCCACTAGTGAGCTACCTCCAATGTCCCTGGACCTCTGTAAGACTCAGGAGTGCCCACCTGGGGCATCTGGGCAGAGGGACCAAGGTCTTTCTGACCCAAGACGATAAGCATCTTAGATCCCTGTGGTCTGATGACTGGGCACAACATGGTTCCCCCTCCATTTGCCATGATGAATGTGTCACCTTCATTTCTACCCCATGTGATGGACTGAAT